AGACAAAAATTACAGAACGGAAATCTTAACCATAACGATGAAAAGAGAAACAATTGTTTTAAATATTAGAGAAACAAACCACTAAAAAATATATATCTGTTTATGCGATTAGGAAATTTAAAGATGATTTTGTTCCGAGAAATTTAAGCTCGTGTGTAATATGTACCAAATAGCGCTTATGTGAATATACCGAAAATACCGGTATTTTTAGGGTAAATACCGGCATTGCATCGGTATTTACTCGGTATTCGGTATACCGGTATACCGGTATTTCATTCCCTAATTTACACATATCGGGAAGTTGCTTTAGAAAAGACAAAATGCTACTTGCAACTATCTCATTTTATTTTTTTAGTAATGTCTTACAATTTTCACAGAATGCAAATAATATTTAAATATTTATTACAACAACAAGCAATTTACAAAACTATTAGACAGACAAGCTATATAGCTTTAGCGAAAGAGCAGTTTCGAGAATTAATAATGCAGAGTGAATTATTACTCTAGCCGGAAAGATATTATACTAATAGTGCGAGAGCTGGTAGGAAATATAATAAAAACAAACTAGATGAACTTACCGATATGTGTAACTAATTTATTCAATCTTTTTTTAAGTATATGTGATGTATCTATTGGTCTACCTGTCCAACTGTCTATCAGTCTACAGAATAGTTATATATTCTGTCGTACTTTTTTACAAAAGAAATTTTGATCTTGACAAAAATGAAGTGATAGAAAAACGTTAGTGATGGTCTAGTCGAATTTTAAAATATTATAGCCCTACGAAAAGTGATTTGATAATAAATTTTTATTGAGGTTTGGAATTATGAAACGTGCTTTCAAAACATACACTTCTCAAAGATAGTGTACAGAGTTCAAATAATGTATGTATTATAATTTAAATTTTTCGGTTCAAATCGTTTTGTCAGTTTTGAATTTATAGTTAATATAGTAGATAATTGTAAAAAATGCAGTTCCTAGAGAATAAAAAACTTGTTATTAATCTATTAGAATTGCCGAGGACGCGGGCTAGAATTGAATGCCTTATGAATTTATATACAAATATATATATATATATATATATATATATATGTATATATATATATATATATATATACTAGCCGACCCGACAGACTTCGTCCTGTCAAAAAAATTTGTAATGTGGCGGTGTTTTGTTCCTACCTTTTTTCTATTCTTTGCAAAAAATTATCCTGAACAGAACCGTCACCCTGGTAATAATTCGGTGTGAATTAAAAATAATTAAATAAAACACTATAAGCGTTTAAAAGTAAGTAACTTTAATCTTGTAAATCATAATTCAAAAATCAGTTCAATTTTTATTGTAGTGCTTTGTGATGAACGATGTTTTTTGTTTGATTACCTGGCGCATAGACAAACAAATATGATGGTTTTCCAATACGGAAACAGACAACATACAATTTTCCATGTGAGAAACATGGGTTTTCCAAATTAATACCACAAACACTTAATTACCATAAACGCACTGGAAACTGTAGTAGTTTAATCTCAAATGGCACATCAGTCGGAAACATTGGGATGCACGGTGCATCCTTTTAATATAGTTGCTTCCATAACGTTGTTTGGTAGTTTTTTTTTATCGCTAACCTTATGCCATTGTAAAGGCGCGGTTGGTCGATATTTCGCAATATTATAATTGCCGATCCAACCTTTAATTGAAGATTGTGAGGTGACAATCCTAGCAAATCCAGCGAGTTCAAAAACTCCGGTGGATCGTCTTGGTTAGTTGCCGAATAAACTGATTCGCCTGTAATTTGTTCTTGAATTTTGAAATTTAATTCATTTACATCAATGTTTTTGGCTGCGAATATAGCTCGTTAAATAATAGAAAGATATTTCTATGTTTATATAAATATATTGAAAATTAGATTATCAAAAACTACACAAAATGTCATGACATAGATCATTGTTTTTTCTACGTTGCCTACTCGATTAAAAAAGAAAAGGGCTGTTTTTAGGGTTTTCCCGGCAATTATTCGATTTTTTCTCGCCGTAAGAACCATCCTTGGACTTCAACGAACATTTGGAAAAAAGAATTGGCCAAATTGGTTCAGGCGTTGTTGAGTTATGCGCTTACCAACACATTTTGCGATCCATTTTTATATATAAGATATATATATATATATATATATATATATATATATATATATATATATATATATATATATATATATTTGTACTTATATTCATAAGAGCCATATATCATTATATCTAGATATCGATAGTGTTTTCGAACTATGTTCAGTCGTGCAACTTTGGTTTGTCGACAGCTGTGCCCGATGATTTATTACACTAGGTCAGTTCTTATACATTTATATATATATATATATATATATATATATATACAAAAATCGAAGTTTAACTGCCATGCCCAGTAGTAGAAATCCAATTATGAAATTTATTTCAAGCGAATATAACATCTAAACTATATTGGAATTGTTTTTGTGATTCCAGCAGTTGCAAGTGCGCAGAAATATAGTTTATATATATATATATATATATATATATATATTTACTAGCTGACCCGATGAATATTGTTTTGCTATGAAAAATATTTCTAGCATTAAATGTTTAATACGGATATCAAAAACTTAATAAATGTCTTCATCAACATAATAATAACTCAAAAAATCCTAAACAATTTAAGACAATGTTAACATTAGTGCATATTAATAATTTAAACCATATTATAGATTTTTTCAACCCAAAAATTTTACATTTTGAAGAGAACGTAATTAAAAGAAGATTTTCTGAGGGTTTGTTTTTACAATTGCATAACGACAGGATCATAAACAAACGATTTGACAACGGCCCTGAACGAAACAAACACGTGGTTTCTAAATAGCATGTCAAAATTTTTCAAAAAATGACAAGATCCCATCGCTTTTTAAATTTCCCGTAAAATTTGAAAACATGCTAATAACTTCTTCAAGAAAAAATGTGACATTTCTATTTCAAACTACTAAGAGTAAACACATAGTTTCGACACTTGTAAAGTTATTATGTTTATTTGTGGGTTTTACTATCTGTGATGTTAACAAATATGTATTATATCAATGTGCACATACTCATACCATGAATGAATAATGTTTTTTTATGTCATATTAGGATACAATTTTGTAAGTGTTTTTTATTATTATTATTATTATTATTATTATTATTATTATTATTATTATTATTATTATTGTTTTTTTATAAAATTGCTCACATATTGTTTATATAGTTTATATATATATATATATATATACAAAAAATTAATTACTTATACTCTTCTTATACAAAATTTCACTTTTTTGCACACATTATCGATTTTGTTTCGACATAAATATTTTCCAACAATACAAAATAATGCCACCTAAATTTCATCCTTTACAAAATCCGTGCAATGTTGCATATAAAGTCAGTTTATCATATATTATATAAGCTTGTTCACTTGTTTTTCAGTAATTTATTACCCCTACAACAACTCCGGAGACTTTAAGATCGTAAATATTCCCGGAGCCGTCGTGCTCGATATTATTATATTGTTTTGTGTTGTAAATTTCGACGTGGGCTCTTGCTTTTTGTAATGTACTAAGGGTTGATGACACACATGTAGTGCCGAAACGTTTATAACATACCAGGTTAATTATTGCGGTTGAATTTTATAAGTTATTATATTTATGTAAAAAATATTTTTTAAATCTTTTGGCGAGAATTGCTTAGAAATGATGACACACATGTAGTGTCGAAACGTTTATAATATATTACTTTAATTATTGCAATTGAATTTTATAAGTTGGTTTCTTTTGTTATATTTATGTGAAAAATATCTTTTAAATTTGAAGAAGTTTTGAAAAATGATGACACACATGTAGTGTCGAAACGTATTTAGTTAATCATTATTAACTTCCCGTAGGACAGTTATAGTAATGGGCCGAAAATCGAAAATGAAAACTTTTGCATTTCTCGACGTTTTGAAGGTTTCTGAACATTTTACTGGCATACCTCAGAAACTAAATGGATGTGTGTGTGTGTGTTTTGTATGTCCGCATTTTTTCGTCCACGTTTTCGAGCGCACGAATCAACCGATTTGAATTGTTTAAAAAATATTCGATTCCTATTAATAGGGAGATGTGCTGATTAGTTTTTGCCAAAGGTAGGTCCAGCAGTTACGGCGATATGGAGCAAAGAGTGCAGAAAATAGAATTCTAGTTTTTGAGAGAACGGATCATCCGATTTGTATGATCCAGAAAACATTGAGTTCGTAATGAAGGGGAAAAGTAGTTACTAGTTTTTGGCAAAGGTAGGCCCAGCGGTTTCGGAGATACAGAGCTAAACGTTAAAAAACGGTAGTTTTTGAGAGAACTAAGCGTCCGATTTAAATGATTCAAAGAACTTTCTGCTTGTTTCAATAAAATAATTGCTTTTGAAAAAAAAATTGTTTTCAATTTATTTTTGAAAAGATATTTTTGTAATTTTAGATTAAAAATTCAAAAAATCACCCAGGCTAAGCACAGTCTAAGTGCCACTCTGGTGCAAATGTTTACCCAACTGCGTTTAGACTGTTTAAGTACTGGAGCACTTTTACAATTTTGTGAAAACTATTGAAAAATGTGAAAATGCCACCAAGCTAAGCACAGTATGAGTGAAAATGTCGCACAGAATTATTTGCAAATGCGTTTAGACTGTGACTATACGGGAGCACTTTTTCAATTTTGTGTAAATTAGACAACTTTTTTTTTTAATTGAATTCGAAATGAAATGACGTTTGTTAATGTTCTGGAGATAAATTGATTCATGATTTACATTAGATTTGCTCAGATATAACAAGAGAGCAAAAATAATGAAAGTTACAGTATTTGTAATAATATGTGTGAAATCGTTTAAAATTTCTCGAAAATTTGATTACGCTACGGAAAGTTCCAGCAATTTGCCTCAAGGCACGATGCCGTACACCATTAGTTTTTTATTATAATTACCTGTGCTCCTAAAAGGCCCTGTTTGGCCCTTCTAAGGTCAGTATGAGACCAAACACTATTCGACCAGGGTTTAGTCATACCGAGATCAGAGAACTGGAAATCACGTAACTGGTTTTTCAAAAATTTTCTTAAATTCCACGCCAGATCGTTGTGCCTGAAAAAAAAAAACAAAAAAAAGTTATCACTTTTAGTTTTAGAATAAAAAAACATTAGTTAAATCAAAACTGCTCTGGGTCTGACATTCGGTTTGTAACGGATTTAGTTTGTAAAATACTTTTATATGTCAAAGTAAAATTAAAGAGCAAGATTTTCTGTTGCAATATTTATCTATTATGAACCATAAAAATTTAAAAAAATGTATATACAATTTTTGAATGAAAAAAAATAGTTCAATCAAAACTGGTCTGAGCCTGTCATTCGGTTTGTATTGATTTTAGTTTATAAAATACTTTTATATGTTATAGTAAAATTAGACAGCAAGCTTGTCTGTTGCAATTTTTATTTATCACCATAAACCATAAAAAATTAGAAAAAAATGTTATATACAATTTTTGAATGAAAAAAATTAGTTCAATCAAAACTGGTCTGAGCCTGTCATTCGGTTTGTGTTGATTTTAGTTTGTAAAATACTTTTATATGTTAGAGTGAAATTAAAGTTCAAGCTTGTGTGTTGCAATATTTGTCTTTTATCATAAACCATTAAAAATAAAAAATATCTATTATATACAATTTTAGAATAAAAAAAAATCAGTTTAATCAAATCTGCGTTGTGGTTGACATTCGGTTTGTGTTAATTTTAGTTCGTGTTGATTTTAGTTTGTAAAATACTTTTTTATGTTTTAGTAAAATTAGTAATCTGCTTTAGTTTAAAATGTTGTTACAGAACCTAGTAATTTTAAAATTCGGTCTTATAATAAATACTTTAAGAATAATATATTGTAATTACAAGGTCGTAGTACAAACGGTGCGTTCTGCAGAGCTCTTTGAAATTGTCGCTTTCATACAATATTCAACTGCTAGTCCCTGACACATATAGATAAAATCTGCTTAAGTTCAAAATATTGCTAAAAAACTTGATATTTTTAGTGATTGATCTTATAGCAGACACTTTTGGAAATATTGTGTTTGAATAACAAGATTGTAGAATAAACGGTGCGTCCTGTACAGCTCTTTGAAATTGTCGCACACATACTTTCTCCACTTACTAGTCTCCAACTATTATAGATAATTTTTTTTTAAATCAAAATTTTGTTAGAAAATCTATCAATTTTAGTATTCAGTCTTAAAATAGACACTTTGAAAAACAATATATCCAAATTACAAGGTTGTAGTACAAACGGTGCGTCCTGTAGGGCTCTTTGAAAATATTGCATACAAATTTTCTACCAGTGCTAGTCTCTAACACATATAAATAAAATCTATTTTAATTTAAAATATTGTTAGAGAACCTATCAATTTTAGTATTTGATAATATAAACTTTGAAAAATAATATGTCCAAATTACAAGGTTGTAGTACAAAGGTGCGTCCTGCAGAGCTCTTTGAAAATATGCATTTATTTTCTTGAAATTTGCCATTTGGATTTTTTTTTCGTTCGGGAAGTTAACAAATAACAAATAACAAATATTCATCTTTTATATACAATTTTAAAATGAAAAAATTCAGTTAAATCAAAACTGCGCTGAGGTTGACATTCGGTTTGTGTTGAGTTTAGTTTGTAAATTACTTTTATATGTTTTGGTGAAATTAGAGGCAAGCTTGTCTATTGCAATATTTATCTATCACCGAAAACCATAAAAAAAATTAAAATAAAATTATCACATACGATTTTAGAATGAAAAAATTAGTTAAATCAAAACTGCGCTGAGCCAGACATTCAGTTTGTGTTGATTTTAGTTTGTAAAATATTTTCATATGTTATAGTAAATTTAGAAAACAAGCTAATGTGTTGCAATTTTCATAATAAATTAGAAAAAATATTTATTATATACAATTTTATATTGAAAAAAAAATAGTTAAGTCAAATCTGCACAGAGACTGACATTCAGTTTGTGTTGATTTTAGTTTGTAAAATACTTCTATATCTTATAGTAAAATTAGACAGCAAGCTTGCCTGTTGCAATATTTATCTATCACTATAAACCTGCATACAATGAAACCTTCCACTACAAAATACAATTTATCAAACTGAATTTCTCGCGCAACTCCACCGTGTTTTGTTGCTCCACCTTTCTTGAAACTTTGTTTAACAAATGATTTAATGTTTTTCTCTTGTTAATGGAAAAGCTTCTGCTCTTATTATTACATGTATGCGTATCGTGGGTTATGTTTAATATGCAGAATAATAAATTTTAAGCTACAATAAAGTTTCTTCGGTAGGCAATGAAAGCTTGCTAGAACTTTCGAAAGTTTTCTCACTCGACGCGAATTAATGCGAACGCTTCTTAATAGTAATAATACGAGTATTATTGATTACACTTTGGTAGTTGGTATATATATACATAAATATATATGTATATATGTATATATATATATATATATATATATATATATATAAACTTCGTGTTACGATGTTGGTTCGCGATGAACGCCCAAACAACTGAACCGATTTTAAATTTTATTGGCTCATCGTGTGCATATACATCCAACTTAGGTTATAAAAAATTTTGAAAAGCAAATTTAAAATATAAATATATAATTTTTATAAATTTCAAAAAAAATTGACAGAAAATGACCAAAAAAAACAAAACACTAAAATGACAAATGTCAAAATTTATGGAAAAATCGAGAAAAAAAGATTTATGACTTTTGAAACAAAGTATATGGCAGTTCAAACAATATAAATCAAAAACATATACATATATAGATCTATCCAACATTTATATCCAAATTAGATAAAATGCTATATTTAAAATCACTATTCATAGTTCAAAATCTAATTAAAAATCAATGGTCATAAATTTAAATAAATGTTGACATGAAAAAAAGTGTAATGTCATTTGTCAATATTTATGAAAATAATTAGATAAATAGATTTATAATTTATATTTATTTAATTTATAACAATATAGATCACAATAAATAGCGGCATATTGAATTTAAAATTAATCATAAACAAAATTTTGACATTTAAAAAAAATGGAATTTTTAACGACTTCAATAAGAAACAAATATACATTAATCATTCCAAGTTATGTTATAAGCAATATTGCCAATCAAATTATAGATACAAAATACTGTTGATAAATAAATTATATCGTTTTATATTAATTTTCGACAAAAAAGAAAATGTTTTGACATTTATATATTTAGTGCATATTGGATATATGAAATTGAAATTCACTATTTTTAAATTAAATGCAAATGTAAAAAATCAGATATTTATATAAAAAATTGTATATTCAGATAAAGATTGATTGAGTCTAAGATTTAGTCTAAAATCCAATTTATTTATTAATTTAAATAAAAATGACATGCGTTGGAATTAATTATCGAAGTGTGAAGAAAATTGTGTAATTAAAATATAATATTATTATTAATATATCAGTTGAGATATATTTTGATTGTGATCGTAAATTCTAATTTTACAGGGAATCTTAACCTCTTAAATGGAATAGTACAATCTGTACAAACAGTACAAATATTATATCATATTATATTAAATTTCGACCGAAATGAAAATATTTTGACAGTTATAATTAATTTGAAATAAAATGAAAATGTCAAAAATCAGACCTTTATGTAAAAAATTATTTATTTCCAGAATATTACTGTGTTGATTTAGCCAAACCTATAGACTTAACAATTATATAATTTATTCATTGATGACTTAAAATAATTATTAATTTATTAAAAAATAAATAATATTTAGATATAAGGTCATTTAATTAGATGTTTTTTAGTTGAAACACGAAAGAAAATTTTATTGACATATTTGACATGACAAAAATGTATTAAACAAAAAACTATGATGCAAGTGAATTAATTTTTGAAGTATGAAATGTCAAATAATTTTGAAAATAATAACATATTTTTAACTTTTTGTCAGAAAGAATATATTTTATCACAAATTCATACCCATATCGAGTACCAAAGTAATAAATACTATTTATGAAATAACATATTATTTATAGGCAATATGCTTTTAATGCATATTTTAATTATATTAGGTTGTCAAATATCTCCCTTCCGCCTTTTTGTATTATAAACCAATAGCAAAAAAGCGGAAGGGAGATATTTGACAACCTAATATGTTTTGATATTTGCAAATTCAAAATAATTTAAAAATATTTATTTATTTATTTATTTATTTTATTTATTCATAAGCAAGCCGTAATCAATAATAATAGATATTATTTCAGGCTCTTGTCAAGCTTATTCATAGTTAATATTAAAAGGATAGTAATTTTATAATAATCATAGTAGCTGCACGAATTTCGCTTCTGAAAAAAAAGAGCTGAAAAAAAGCATTCGAACATTAAATACAATGTTCATCATCAAGTTCATCATATCAAAGCCTATTTGACCACCAGTCAAGCTCAAAATTCTTGCACAAGGTTGAAAGTTATACTCATTTAAAACCGTAAAAAAATTCAAATTAATGTAATAGCAAAAAAAAAAGAAAAAAAAAATGGTTGTACAGGCGATCAAATGGTCAGACTACATAGATACAGGATAAGGATTATGCAAGAAAATAGTTATTGAATTCAAATTGAGAAAATTCAGTAATGTCATAAAAGCTAAGTCTTTAAAAAGTTTAACTAGGGAAGCATGAAATTTTTTGCTGTCTAAGTTTCGGATATTGAGTGGAAGTTTATTCATAAGCTGAATGCCTAGACCGTCGAATAATTGAAAACAATATCATAAATCGGATATTTATGGAAAGGTATTAAATATATATATTTGTTTCACTTGATTTTAAATAAGAATTTAAAAAAAAAATAATTGCGATGCCAAAATAGATTTTTTCTGAATTTTTTATAATGCTTATGCTAAGACTATGAATGGATCATAAAAACAAGACATAAAATAGGATATTAAAATGTATAGGAGAGAATATTAAAAATTTTGAACTTATGAAATGTAGATGTGGGTACAGGACAAAGTCTGTGGGGTCATCTAGTATATATATATATATATATATATATATATATAT